ATGTCTGCAACTTGGTAAGGATTGATTTAACTCAGTGGGTGAGCATTCGATAAGGAGGTAGCTCCGGCATTTGACCTCTAGCTCACAGGGGAAATACAAATAGCTTATTATTTGGGCCTGTAATTAATGGCTACCAAGTAGATAAACATAGAACAGGGTGATAGCAAGGTTAATTACATTGATTAAAAGCTTGATCTATATACTTACCAAACTCTGTATCAAATATGTCTTGATAAACCATAAACATTTTAAGTATGATCTCTGAAAGACTAGATATGCCATCCATAGATCATTTAAAACATACCCAAGAATGATAAAGAGAAAAGACAAAACCACACCATAAATGAGACTAGACACATCAATAGTAACAGTAAGATATTTTAAATAACTACCGATGGCTGCTTACTATCCGCTAGCAATTGTGTTAAGAACATTGAATCTCCCCAATAAGCCAGTCTTGAGATTCGACAAGATTAAAGAACTTGCCTAGCCACACAGAGATGAATGGAGGAGTCAAGACAAGACCCAGGTAGCCTGGTACACATCTTTAACCCCATACCAGGGCTAGTTTAAACCTGCCCATGCAGCGCTTTAAAAACAGCCATGCTGCTTACAAGTGACACCCCCAAAAGTATACCACAAACAAAGTTTGAAACAAAGATGTGGAAGCATGGATCGGTGGGAATAATAGTATTAGGAGACTGGCTATGGGGAAAGAAGTAAAGGGCTAACTGCACACTCCATCTTAATAAAAACAACGCACTACAAAGACATGAAGGCGTCCATTTGTACATCCATGATCACATAACTTTAAAATATATAAAAGGAAGATCTGGCCAAATAATAAGGAAGAAGTCTTTCACAGAGAGATTTTTAATGTAACACTAACAAGTGAGTTGAACAAATGAACAAAAGTAGATAAAAGATTGAAAAGAATAAATTTAGCAAGTTTTGCCTAAGTCAGATTGCTAGTGATACATGACATTCTATGACCTAAAAATAGAGGATAAACAAATAATTTCCCACTAAATTGTGTGGGTGATACAGATGATCACCAAGGAAATCTCAGTAGCAGCATCCAACAACAAGGACATGGATTCAGAAGCCATGATAATGGTATACTATAGTAGTGGGGTCAGTAAAATATGATGTAGGAGCCAAATTGGCTTATTTATTTATTTATTTATTTATTTATTTATTTATTTATTTGTCTGCGTTAGGGGTTAAGAATGACTTTTTCATTTTAAAATTGTTGAAAAAATCTAATATGTGTCATGAAAATTAAATTAACTTCAAATGTCAGTGTTTATTAATAAAGTTTTATTGGAAAACAGCCATTTCTGTGTGAGGATGGTTGCTTTTCTGTTGACAGCAGGATGGAGTTATTATACAGAATCTGTATGGCTTCAAAACCTAACTTACTATCTGGTCATTTAAAGAAAGTTATCCTGACCCGATGTTAATCTGTATCAATACATTATCTACCTTGAGGGAAAAGTTCTGGCATGAGGTGTGAGCTGTATGGCACCACTGTAATAGAAAGTCACAAGTACTATTACATATTCTGTATGGGTAGTACCGTATGTGAAACTTTAAAACCCACAGAAAGAAGGAACATGCTTGTCCTTCTAAACCTGAGTGTCCTCCCTTATAATACATTCCAGTCCCATGTGTTCTTCTGTAAATTTCTTAATTGTAGTTTTCTATATTGTTTACTTCGATAAACTGAATCCCACAAATTAGTGTGCTTTGTCTGTCCCTCGTGTAGTTTTCACATGTAGACTACTCAGAGGGATCCGTTTCATAGTCTCTCTCATTGAGCACCATCAAGAGTGACAGGGA